CGTATAATCCTGTTCACACCGACGGAAAGGTCTCTTGAATGTGCTCACAATGGGACGGTAGCGATCATTTGAAAGAATTGGCAGAAACGTAAAGGCAGAGTTGAATGGTCGAGCTGGAACTGATTCATAGGCACAAATTTCATTAAGAGTATTGTTGGGTAAAACCTGCAACAGAAAAATAAGAATTATGGGCTTAAGTAAAAAGGAGATATTAAAATATCTCATTTTTACAAAATAAATCTAAGTTAAGTTCTTTGCTGACAGAAATTAATGTACCAGTCAGCCACGCCAGGCAGGTAAGAACGAGCACCTCCCCCCATTTCTTAAGCAATATAAATTTCGTCGGCATATCGATATGCGAAGATTATGACGCAGCTGCTCAACTAGAATTTTATCAAAGTCTTATCGACCAATGCAAAGTAAATTATGTGCACAACATACACTCTCCACCAACTTATCAACTGGGAACAGTTAAGAGTCTATTTCTCAGCAACGTTGGACTGGCATTTTTATATTTTTCTTGGACTACGAGAGTAAATCTGCAGTCTCTTATTACTGTATTCTTGTCCCGCAAATGGGTCTAATATAGTCGACATATGTCATTCAGCTGGTAACAATGCACAATGGTATATCAACATGTATTTCATACTTGCATGTGACAATATCACGCAAACTCGTGTCACTCAGCTCATAAACATACACTACGTAAAGTCCACAGACGCCGTATTCTCAAATGTGATGATACCATGACTGACTAAAGCCACTGATTTAGAAACAATAAGCAGTGGTATCGCCACAGGTGCCATATGCTTGCAAAACCAATCCGCGATCTTCGGACGGGATCTTAAAAGCTTGTTTCACATGGAGAACCATTTCTATAGCAAGGCGCTTCTGGCTTACTATATCAACAGTTAGCTAACTCCTCCAAAACCGGTGTTCAGAGAGTATGCTACCGTGGCCTGCTTAAATGAGCCTCAGACAGTTAGGAGCAGTAACGGTGAAGTAAACTATGATTTCTAATTTTGGATGAGATTTGCGCCGGTTATACATTGACCTACAAATCCATATTTTTCACGCATTTTGAGAAGGCTGGTTGCACAAAGCCTTGCTACTACAATGCTGTTAAACTTTAGGCCAAACTCTAACATAATGAAGAAGTTTTAACGTATGACATATAAATTGAAATACCTCCCATTGTCATCATGCACCTCATCTCGGTCTGACATTTCTTCTGAGCTGTCTAATGAAATGAACATTACGATAAAAACTTAATTCAAACCATTTTACTTACATCTGGTTATTTTTCGGTCAAGCTCCGGCGATTTCTGCGAAGAGACACAAGGGGAAGACTGTCTGACAGTGCGCTTCTTTCCTTTTCTGACGGCTGGTTTTCGGCGACGAGGCAACTTTTCTGTAGCGAACGACTGCAACAGATATCCAGAAAAATTACCTCACCAGTAATATTTCTGTGGCGGTCTTCTTCAGGTGAAACGGCTTCTGGTTTCGCTTGCGAAGAAACTAAAAACCGAGAGAATTCGAAAGTATAAATCAATGGATCAACATGACAACTAGGTACAAAACGGCTCTGAATGAAAAGTATTTTTTGCATTAAATATCACAAAAAATGAGACGAAATTTCGTTACGCTATTTGATGGTTTTACAATAAAGCAGGACTGGTGAAGGAAAAAACGGTTAACTCATTAATCATAGTAAAACCTAAGAACGTTTTTTTTCCGGCTAAACACATATCGCCGCAACAGATTAACCAACTGCACTGCCCCCTTTATCGCGCTGCAGAACAAAAATATAGACAGGGTTCACACACTGGCTGCCACGACACACGAAATTCTATGCTTCCATACAAACGCAGAAAAGGTTGCATTTATTTTATTGAAACTTCTAATTTCGTTATAAGCCCTCAAAGGAATCGGGGACGTACTTTTTGAAACTTGCGTATTTCCACTAATTACATATATTTCACCATTCTTAGAGTGGATCTACGCAAATTTTGACTGGCTTCGAAAATTGCTGGCAGAGCATGTCAGTTGATCTACATGAATGCAGTAAACGTCTTGGCAGATCACAATGTAAGATCTTTTGGAAAGCCCGGCAGTTCTATTAATCTATGTATCTAATAATCGACTATCCATCCGTTGCACCACAACCTCTCAAAATGCACTTCGAGATATCATTCTACAAGGTCCTAATATGTCTACACCTACCAGAGGTCTGAAGCATGCAACAAATGTGATGCGGCTGATGGCTCAGACTTTGCAGAAAGTAGAACAAATAAGGCGCCATCTGCTCACATCGATCCCTTCATGCTAACCAGTATAATTTTATATAAATTCGTATTAATTTCCTATCGACCAGTCAGTCTCTTCATCGTTCGTTATTTTTTGTCACCTTTATTAAGTATCTTATTTGTAATGTTGTTTGCTCGCTGACGTCATTATTATACACAGCTATAAAATGGGCTAATGATTGCTTAAATTTTGTTCGGTGCTAGTTTCACATCTACTTCCGCCAGTTTTCGCTAGACATCGACCGTCGTCTGGACACTCTCAAAACTGACGATACGACCAAAATGTTAACTCACCAAACAAACAGAGTATTATATGCTGTCACCAGTAAATCTTGCCTTATGCCGATGGAACGAAACCATTAGAAAAACCTGCTAAACTAGCTATATCACGACCCGAAGACGACTTTTAAAATCAATGAATGGACCGTTCCTGACTTTGTGCTGCTGAAAAATTTTATGCAACGACTGGTTTAAACCTTAAATGGGTTCTCAATTTGTAAATTATAAATTAAAACTATAACTTTTGGCCAATGTAATTAAACGAAGAAACGGTTATTTTTACGGTATTTCAACTTCGGTAAAGTGTAGTACATACGCCGTTGCTGCAGTTCGACCAGTTTTTCCTTCTTAGCATTCAAAACGCACGCAAATCTGGATATCAAAGAATCTTCAAGTGCCGCCTTTTCTTCGACCAGGTCGCGATAGAGCTTAAAGACCGTATGATCGAACAATACTACAAATCACGTGACAAATAAGTAAATTTTCATTACCATTCGCAAGTGTAATTAGTACTTAAGACAAGATTACTCATTTACTTGTACAGCCTCATCGCGCTCTGTCTGGAACCGAAAGCATTCGTTTTTACTGGTCCTTGAATCGTCTTCCAGATTCTGAATTACCGACGCACATTCGGAAAGCAGGTTTCTCAGTGCACCAGGGAAATCGGCACTGGGCACTTTCTCCATTTCAACCTTGCCCACGGTATAAAACATACTGTCTGTGACTTTCTTCTTCCAAACAAACTAAATATAAACATTGACATATGGAAGCATAGTTGCAATACATACAATTCATTTCAACGTCATAGTAGGAACTGATTATAAACACTTAAACTGAATATCTCAGAAAGAACTGTAGGACAGTACCAAAACAGCAATGCATCCTCTTTCCAACTGACACTGAAATAAAGAAAAATGTATAGTACTCGTTTAACACAGTGGTAATATACTTACC